GTTATTATAAAAAAGTTGCTTAGTTTCCTTTCTTTAATGAGTTCAAAGTGTTCAAAAATTAGCCCAGATATTAACAAAATAATTGTTCCAGTTAAGTATCTTCATTTTTTTCCTCCTCATTGGATTTTAGGAACTGCTTTGTGCTTTAGAAGAACAATAAACACACAAGATTAAGTTTCTTTATGTTTTGACTGAGTAGTATTATTTGGATAGTTCACTTTTTAAATCCTCTACTTACCAACTGACTAAATTCTATTTAGAATGCACTCATTTTTTAAAAGAAGTTATGAATATTCAGGGTTAAAAATACCAAGTGGAGTGGAGACTTAACGTCAAATGTTTTAACTAAAACTACTTTTGTGTAGTTTTATGCTTGTCATGTGTCTCCCTCTATGGGCAAAGAGGAGTCAATTGTACTCATTTTATTGCTGGGATAGAACTTGTATTTTCTAAAGTCCAAAGCCAAAGGCACTTTGCCCTAGGCAGCCAGTCTTTACCTATCTGAAGACCTCTAGGGTATAATCAGTGGATATAATCAAAACAGTTCTAAATATAAAAATCTGTCCAGCAAGAAGATGGAATATGATATTTTCTAATTTTCTAGTCCATGCTATATCCAATGCTATATCTGTTGCTCAGAAATTAATATCCTTCAATACTTGTTTTACGTTCTCCAAAACATATACTTCTAAGGTGGGTCTCAAGGCTACTCTAATCTGACGGATGATTTCATAGGGGCGTAAGAAGGCCCCTGGATTTAGGAAAAGGAATCCTGTATTTATTCCTGGCTCTGCCTCTAAGTAGCATTTTCTTTCACTAGGTCTCAGTTTTCTCATCTTTAAAATAGAGAAGTTTAAATAAATTTTCTCTGACCTACATTCTTGCATGAAATCCTCAATTTGACGACGATTAAACAAAGGGATTGTAAATATGGAAATTAGAAACATATTGAAAAATGATATTGGGAAGACATGACAAGGTTTCATGAGATGGTATTTCTTGAGTTAACATCGTCTGAAAATGAAATGCTCAAAAGGATTAATTGTCCCCAAAGAGACATGGCTGTAGAACACCAGTAGAAAACAGCACAATACAGGTATGGCTTGGGCATCTCTGACTCTTTGCTGCCCTCTCATGTTTCAATACACTCTTTAGTTCTGTTATTCACCGCCCGCTAAGGACCTATGCAGGTGAGCCTTGCTCTAAATAATACACAGATTCCTAAATATGTCCTGTCATTACTGTTTGAGAAAAAATTCATAAAGGAAATGTACCAGAAAAGCTGATACATGATCAACGTCCTCCTCCCCTACTCTATCAGTTTTTAAACTAGCTTTAGGAACAAAAAAACACCAGGCACGGGTTGTAGGACGAAACACTTGGTGAATTACTCCTAACCTGCTGAGCTCTGTTCTTCTTCTAACTCATCTCCTTGAATTCCTGCAACAGCACCGAGTGTTAGGTACTCATATTTCCATCCTTCAAATGCGGAAATAAAGCGAATGAGAGAGACAGGGTTTGCACTCAAGCTCCAAATGCCCCACATCCCCTTCTTGTCATGCCACACTAAAGAACATAATAGCTATTTAGTAGTCAGGCTCTTTGATAAATGCACATTTGGAAGCTTTATTTTAAAAAAAATTGTTAAATCATTTTAGAGCTATGTATTTACTTATTATGTATGTACATAAAAACAGGCAAGTGACTCACATGCTTTAACTCTAATACTATAAGATCAAACTTTCCTGGCTTTAAAACATGTCAAAAGGAATAACCTCAAATGGGGAGAAGGGTCTTCTAAGTTCTGTGGGAGAAAGCTTTAGAAAAACATAGTGTGACATACGTAGACAGCCCAAGTGCTTACAGCCCAAGTGCTTAACTCTTCTTTCGAAAAAATCAGAGTTGATTTATGGAAAAGTCGGAGGGAGGTAATTTTTTTCCTTCAAACAGCTATGACTCAAAAGTAAGTTCGTAGATTTTGAAAATAATCCTGAACAATAGTTTATCACCTACATCACAAAGGCACCAATGTCTGTGGCTGTGATGAGAGGAAGGGACACAGCACTGGGAGCAACAAGAGGCCCCATGCTTGACAGACACAAAGGCAGTGTGTCCACTTTGACCATTTTTGGAGGGCTCCATAATTTTTACTTTTATGACCCTGCAATCTTGTCTTTCTCTCATTCTTCCCTTTCCTTCTTTCATCTTTCTGGCCTATTCTTTCCATCACCTCTAGTTCTATATATAGAGTGGGTCCTACGAACAAAAGCAAATAAAACAACATAAGAAATGATGTACTGAGTGCTTACTCTGTGAAGCACTGTGCTAAGAGCATCCCACATGTGAACTCACTTAATTTAGCAGTAACTGTATTACCCTCATTTTATAAATGGGGACATCGAGGCAGAGAAAGGGTACGTAACCTGCCCAGGGCCACACAGCTGTCATGATAGACCATGCTTTGAAATCTAGACAGGCAGAGGACCCACACTGCACAATTCCAGGAGCACCCCAACAGTGATGTTCTATGGAGTTGCCCTCCAAGGGTGCCCTGGAGCTGTGCCCCACCACAGCCTTTGGGACCAGCCATGAACTTAACCATAAGCTACACCATTCCTCTGGATCCTAAATAAAATTTCTAAGAAGGTCAAGTTCATGTTAAACGGTGCCCCACTGACTCTTTTTAACACTCTTCTGCACCCTTCCCAGGACAACCACAGAGAGATAGCTGGGTTCCAACAATAGGGAGAGTGAACTTGGAGGGAGGACCTGAGTAGTCAGCTGCTGAGGGAGGAAATTCACAACTACCACCTTTTCTGTGTGTTTCAAGTCTTCTATCAAAGTTTCAACCATAACATAAATCATTATTTATGTTTTTAAGGGCCCACTTTTTCAGAATGGGCTCAGGGGAGGGAACCTTCCCCTGCTATTGCCCTCAGTCCCTCACCCTCCATTCCACTTTTCCACCTTGGTTTGCTATGCTTGGGCAAGGAAAAAGACTTCCACTCTCTAGTCAGTTAATTTCCTGTTGTGCTTTGTGATGAATACAGCTGCGCTAAGCAGTTAATGACAGTTAATTAGTTTCCCTTCCTAGATAAGACATTTCTGTAGCTCCACTGTCCCTAGGCCTCAGGTCAGGAACTTGTGGGTACAAATGAGGCCATATTAGCCTTAATTCCCAGATTTCAGTAGCTCATAATTCCCTCTGGTATTGCCCCTGGGCCTCAGTACTATGTGAAAATTTCTGGGAGCTTTTAAGGAGTCTCTCACATGTGTCCAATTGTGTTCCCTTGAGTGCAGCTCCTCTCCCTTTAATCAGTGCTAGGGGACTACCAGGGTGGCCGGAGAGCTGCCCTGACCACTGAGCACCCACCACCTCTTGATGGACACAACAATTTCCACTGGTACCTACAGCTGCTCTTCCGGGAGGACGCTCCTGTGGGGCTGGCTCATATGTGACCTCAAGCCACAAAAGCTTTCAGGGACCAAAATAGCACTGCATTCTGCTCAAACCGCAACATCAGAGTCTTGCTTATTACAAAAATAGCGGGGGGGCAGGGGGTTGCCCCTCTTTACAGGAGTCAGACCCAGTGTGTAGAGCAGGGCTGGAAACCAGGTTCCGTGTGGCCTCTCTCACTAGAGGCCTCAGGCACATGCTCACAAGAGTCAGCCTGGTCATCCCTCAACACAGTCAGGCAAGTGCATGGAAACAAAAGCGTCCCGTTCCACACCACCATCTCAGTTTAGGCTCATTTACATTGACTTCGGATTTCTGAAGAAGAAATCTGTTACTTAAAGAACTTATTTTAATTTATAGGAATTTCAGTTATTGTTCATCTCTTGATCAGTGTCAAGAAGAAAACTGGTGAACCAGACATATACCGTGAAATGACAGTTAAAAATCATCAGCAATAAGATTTTGAAAGATAAACATGGAGAAGAGAACCAATAATGTAATATTCATTGAAATACAAGCCCCATTAGAAAGACATTTAGGAAAGAACAACATTAACAAGTATTCTGGAATCAATTCTGACATAGTGACCACAAAGGAGACCAGTTGAAAAGCGGTGACTGGACATGACGACGTTAACTTTCAAGCAAAGTGTACTCAGTAATAACTTAATAAGGAGCTCCTCAGCATATCATGAGTCGAAGTTCAAGGAAGACACTTGCATCAAATGAAGTATTGATGTAGTATTTGGAGAATATGTTACTTTTCTTCTGGTAGTAATTTTAGAAAACTTAGGTTTTCTTTTCCAGGCAGTTATTTTAATTGGGGTTTTAAGAATGTTTAAATGAATTCAATTTGGTTTCAGGTTCAGCAAAATGAGATCAATTTGTTCCGTTTTGGGTTCAGTTGAGGTCAAGTTCCATGTCTAAAATAGACTAATAGGAATCAGAGTAATTTTATTTTTCTGCCCTTTATGTCCCTCATCCTTCCTTCTACTTTTCTTCCCCAAACCAGCTGTTCTTTCGATCTCATTGAACTTTTCTATAATTACTTCTTCTCTCTTCCCCAAAACTGAATTTATTCTCAACTCTTTGGGTCCAAATCAGGACTACTGGAATGGTGTGCCTTCCTACACACAACTGGGATATCGATTAACCAAGAAGGTATGTTTTATTTATGCTTTCACTTCCGTTAAACCAAGTTACCATATATTAACATCATGCTGATAATACAAGCCTGGAAACATTGCCAACATTTTGAAGGTAATGCTGTCTCTCAAAATACAAATGCCCAGAGCAGTGCTAAACTTAGTAAGAGCACAAATTTAAATGAACTACAAAATGGTACATCAGTAAAGATTTTCCTAGTAATAGCTTAAATGGACAACTTGTGAGATCAATAGAGAAATGGTAATGCAGAGAAGAACTAATGTTTCTAAAATTTTAGAATTGCAGTTTAAAATTGGTGGGTTAATATTAGGTTGAATATTGGAAGATATGGTTTCTTCTTAGACACGAAGAAGAATAAGCTCCCAGATCTTTCTTACCTGTTATGGTGGCTTTGTTGATGGATGGTTGGTTGCACATGGGTGATCTTCTGACAAAGAGAGAAAAACACAAAGCAGTAAATACTCAGTGCTTGTTGATTTGAGAACTCTCTGAGTCATTTCAGATATGCCATTTTAATTTACAAGATTATTTTTAAGTTAGGACATGCAAATGAAGATTTCTTTCAGACTATCCCGTCAAGTTCTTAGGCACTCTTTGTACTATAGTTCAGATCACACGTCAAAGAAGAAAATAGTTAAATCTCAGTGTGATAGACTGTGGGGTAAATAAAGCAGATGTAAATGTCACAGGGACGTGACAGAAGATGAAGTTCTTATTGATTGACTATTTCAATGAAAACAGGACTTACAGAGCAAACACAGACTTTCTGAATTTGAAAAGGTAGCCAATCTACAATTGGTTTTCCTAAAACAGTGTTAATGAACTTTTATTTTTGGCATAAATTCTCATGATTGCCTATACATTATCAGAAGTAAATGACTCCTTGTAAACTATATTACAATTCAAGAAGCTATTTCAACTTCCTCCCTTTTATTTCTTATGTGGAGAAACATCTCTGACACATTTGTTAGAGAGGTATATTAATGACTTGTTCCAATAGATGTTCTAGAGACTGTAGAAATACTATAAACTAAAGGTACTTAAATACATTCTATTGCATATCCTCTAATTTTTCAGATGTTTGCCAAGTTCCACAAGAGAATTATAAACTCCTTGAGGAAAAAAACCATGCTATATGACTAATGTTGTATTCCCTACAGAGCCCAGCACAATGTATCCAGTGCTTAATAAATCATGCTGAAAAAAAGAATATCATTTCTGGAATGTCCATTAAAATAGTGATTTTTATAAGAAAAACTTTAAAAAATAGACACATTTAAGCATGTTTGCACAATTTTTGTTTTTTTTGTTTTTTGGTACTTCTACTGATGGCTAACACTTAATAAGCACTTACTGTGTGTCAGACACTGGGCTAAATGAGCACTTTAGATGAATTATCTCATTTGCTCCTCACAGCAAACCTTAAGGCAGGCAGTCTCATTGTTCCCATTGTACCAGTGAGGAAAACAAAGCTTTGGGAAGTTGAATAACTTGTTCAAAGTAAGAAAGCTGAGATTTGAACTAGAGTAAGGTGATTCCAGGGCTGTGCTCTGCTATGTTGCTTTATTTTCAGGATGCCTTTGTGGAACCTGGACCAACAGCCACACATCTGTGCAGATGGCAGGCTCTTGCAGAGCCCTGTTCAAATCTGCCTTCCTGAGATGATGAATCTCTTGGTAGGGCTGGGAGACACTTGGGGAAAGGAGTCTGCTACTTTGTAAATTCTCAGTCTTGGTTCCAGTCAGCGTCTGGCTCTGTCTCATTGCTCTTAAGTTTACTGATGTCAATTTGGGATTGAAATTTTGTATTTGATTGAAAACTCACCAAAATTTACTTCTAAATTATTTTAGTTTCTATTATGAAATAAAAAGGGAAAATTTGAAACTTGATTAATGCTTCATAGAACAGAAAGGTTAATGTTTTAAACTGCTGCTCTAAAAGAGCTCTGATCTGTATACTACTAGTTATCTTCTTGCTGAGAGCTTATCATTCCAATAATTTATATATTGATTACTCCTTCTTAGTCTTTGCTCTGTGAAAATTTATAAAGCACTGATTTTGTCTGGGAAAAGTATCAAATGAATACTTGTAAACTTTCCTATAGTTTTGGAAAACCAAATTTTTGACTCATTACTTATTATCTTCTCTTAATACCAATCCTATGACGGGCATTTGGGAACTTGATACTTCAACAAATAACGACAAGCAGAAAATATTAGTCATTCGATCCATGGTTACAGTGATAAATCATTTAATGAAGAATGAGCCAGAACTCACTTTCAGAATGAAAAATCTCAAGGGTAAGAAAGAGCAAGGTAATAGGAACTAGTAGTGGGTTAATAAAAGTCAGCAACGTGCATTTCAGTACCCACAGGCGTCAGGGCTGCAAATGCATTCTTTCTAGACTCCTTCCTTGTAAGCAAACAAAAAGGTGAATTGTGCAAGGTAGCGCACGCCTTCCACAAAATCCAAGGATGAGCATGGAAGTGTTCCAGTGGCACTGGGAGCGCCCAGCAGGGAAATTCTGATTCTCTCAGGGTCATCATGTGATGAGCCAGGGATATATCCACTTTGCCATCACTGAACAGAACAGAGCCTGGCTGTATGTAGATTGAATTCTACTATTCTGATACCTGAGGAGGCTGATTTGGTTTGAATCAGTAAAGGAGGTACAAATCCGCATTGACCAAAAGAAAGACCACAAAGGCCCTTGCTTAGAGTCTACCAGATAATATTGTTTGGCGAGATGTCACCCTGGGCATTCTATAGTAGCTCAAGATCAGGCATAAACTATGATTTTTCTACCCTCCTCTAGCTGTTCTTTTCCATTTTAATCTGTTTGTCCCTGTAAATTAGTTGAAAACTTCTGTCTTGCATAGAATGGGCCTCAGGTCATTTCTTTGGAGACAGAAGGCCAGTCTCATGCCTTCACATCTGTCTGATGAACTGTTTGCCTGCCACAGGTTTAAATGCTGGTACCCAAGTGACCATGTCTGAAGGAAGCATAAAAGGAGTTATACAGTTTCTTGTTCACCTTTTAAAGGCAATATCTCAATTTCTTGTATAAAAATTGAGACTAAAAAAGTGTGGGAGTGACATCAGTAATTTCGTTCCTCCTGCAGGGCTGAGGTTTTCCAAAGAGGAGGTGACTTCACCTCTGAGCTACCAAACGCCAAAAGCCCCAAGGGGCCGTTGAGGTCGGCGTGATATTGTACAGCCATGGAGCAAAGAAGGCATGTTTCGTAATGAAGAAATACCTCAAAGCACACCCTCAGGTTCCACACGCTGCATCACCACGTCACTCTTCCAGCCAACAAGCACATGCAGAGTGAGTACTCTGTCTGAGTATTACACTAGGCACCGGGAATACAAATGTGAACCAGATGCAACCCCTGCTGACTGGGGACTGACATTCTCAAGGAGCACTCAGACAAGCAAATCAGCAACTGCAGCAGAGAGACGTGTGCTCAAACAGGCGTTAGGTGCTGGATGCGATCAGACAGAGATGGAAAGGCATACCACCCAGTCTGGGGCCTGTTTGCCTGCTAGTCAGGGACGATGGCCCAAAAGGAATTACATTTAAGCTGGGACCCAAAGAATGAATTACAGTTAGCCCAGCAGATGAGGAGGGGAAGAAGAAGGTGAGAAATGTTCAGGCTGAGGGAACAGGACTGCAAAAATTCATTACCTGGAAAACATGACAATCAACTGAAGCTTCTGGGTTCCATTCCAGTTATTTGCATTTCGACATTTATATTGATATTTTAAAAACCTTTTTATATCACAGGAGTATGTGCATAATGGCCACAGCTTTTTTTAATCAGGGAAAGTGTGAATTTGGGGGTTCAACTATATTATTACGGGATGGGAAGTTCAGATTTTTTTCATATTCTTTAAGAAGTAGTAACTACTATGAAATTTTATACAGTTAGATAAGTTATAATTCCAAATAAATTTTTATTCACTGTCCTCTTAATATTGATTTAAGGAAATGTTTTTTCTGCTGGAAAATTCTTTGAAGTTGATATTTTAATGATAACATTTTATTTATTATTAATAACAGATTGTCAAAATAATGAGCAGTTGAATAACTAATGTTTTCCATTTAATCTTTAAAAATTAATTTTGTCTTTTTAGATTTTTCACCTTTATTAGAACCCCAAAATTATAATCATTTGCCATCTCAGCTTTCCTTCGTTCAAATGCTTCCCCTGTCATAAGACAAATCACAATTTTATTGATTGCTACATGATGCTGCGGATCTGATAGTCTGTAACAGCAGGAGAATCCAAGATCTTTGCTATGATATGGTGCTTCTCCAAGGAATTGTTTTCTTAGAATTAAGAAGATGACTCTGGATTGACTTTAAGGTTTGATGAGATTATATGTCCATGGTTAATTTACGAAGTTAGCCAAACCTATAAAGTTACCCTCAGAGTAAATAACTGAGCACAGGACTCTTTATGCCAGGTGATTTCTGACAGATGGAATCACCGTATTTATTTGTCATACTGCTTCATTTCTGATATTAGAACCATCACTACAAAGTATTTATAGAAAATGAACAGGACATCATATGACTTAGAGTAAATGGTTAGACAGCATGGCAACAACTCAGAGAAATCTAACATATTGCTTTCAGTTCAATCAAATTGAAAGAACACTGTATAAAAGTTGAGCAAGAAGGAGGGGGAGAAAAGGATAACTTACTTGCTAGGTGCTCGATCTTGCAAATTAGTTAATGCAGCAAAGTTGTTTCGAACAGTTCGCAGGCTCGCCAAGACCTACAAAAAAGGATTCTTTAAACTTCTTGAAGTATGGCCATCTTTAATGCACTTTAAAATGATTTGGTGATTTTAAAAAATGGTTTATTAAGTGAAAACTTGATATTGCTGGAAATTTAGTTTTATATACCACTAAAGAATCTCCCAGCACTTAGTGAAGTTTATATGTATCTATCTGAAATCCATAGAGGTCAGACTGCAAAGATTTTCCAGATATTTCTCCTCATTGTCTATGAATAGAGTGACAGTAGCAGTACTTTCCACACTTTTCCTGGATTCTGCAGCCACTGAAACAATATCCCAGGCAATATGTATATATATAGTGTTGTTGTATTTTATGCAAATTTAAAATAGCGTAATATAAAATATTCATAAAGTCTCACTTTAGGAATAAAATTTAAAACAAATTATCCCCAAATTCTCTTCAAAAATTCACCAAGAATGTCATAATTTCAAAGTCAGCAGGCTAAATAAATTTTAAATTTTTTCACCTTTGCCACATGGCCACTCTAGCTGGAAAACAGAAATTCTTTTCTTTGTAAACGTGATCCGAATTATGAATTACAAGGTTCTCAGGGATGCGTTTCTCACATAAAATGGGACCGCCCTGTATGTGCACAGTGCCTGTTGTGCAGAAGACAGTCAACAAAAATGTGTTGAATAAATGAATACGAAGACACAACATATGCACACACACAGGCAGGATCACTAGGTCCCACTGTCTCTGATTGCCCTTCCTTTTCCTAATTCTAGTGAAACTAGAAAGTGGCAAAAGAAATGGAAGTGAGACTAGGAGAGAAAAGTTACAAGATCCTTACCCCCCTCACTTTCTCCTAGAGTGGGCCAGTTTCCCCCAGGGTGTAGCTGATATTAGGAGAGATTATAGGTAATCTGGGTGACAACTAGCATGTTAAATTTATCTAAAACAGAGATTTCAAATGTCCTATTGGGCACTGCATAACAACCCTGGCTCTGGGACACATTGAATGTGTAAACTTAGTCAAGTTACATAATCTCTCTGTACCTCAGTTTCCCCATCTGTAAACTGGGATAGTAATATCCACCTCACAGGCTTGCTGTGAAGATGATATGAAATGACAAGTTAGGTGCTGGACACAAATAGTGTCCAGCAAATAGAAAGCACTCAGTGAACAGTAAGCCCATTATGGCAGTATTCCATTGGATTAATGATCTGGCAAGTGTGTAGTTAGCACCTATCATTGATAATATGGGGGGATGCCAAATTTATAATTGCTCCAAGGATTCCAGAACTGTTTCCAGAATTTTTTCATCTGGCACTGACCTAAACTAACATCAGTCTAAATTTTTTCTAAGGCGAAAATGTCTCAGACATTTTTGAAACTGGCATTAATTCACTGGGGTGCTGTTTATGCCCTGGGACAGTGACCCTAGAGCATTATCCCCTGAAAGAGGTGATGGTGCTTCCTTAGGTGCCAGCCATGATTAACTCAGTCACTGGAAAAACCTGGCTCATTATCACACATAAACAACTCACAGAGCTGAAATGTCACGCTGCCTATGACGGAGTAGTCAAATAACCATCAGCTGACACAAGGCCACCGTGCCTTTCATGAGGCATGAAATCTTGAATGATACAGAAAGAGATCTGACAAATGATCTGCTGTCACTAAACCATGCAGGCTTGATTTACGCTTTAAAAATTTAATATCAAATGCACTGATACAGCATTTTAAATAAGATTATTGCACTCCCTAGTCGATCCTTTTTCTAGGGAAAATTTTAACCTCAGGATTCTGAGAATTTTATTCTAATAAGTTATGGTAATTGCACTGCACTGACAGCTGGGTAAACAGAAATAGTACTGCAGGTAATTCATGTTGAATGCTCATTTGAAAGGAAACATTAGCTCATGAAAGATATGCTACAATTGTTTTTCTGTAAAAAGGTTTTTGACTCTATTATAACAAAGATATTAAATTAGACTATTTGGTTTGGTTTTTAATTTAAATATAATGTATTTATTTTGAATAATCTATATCTTCACATGGTGCAGAATTTAAACAGAACAAAAGGGTAGAAGTACAATGTTTCCCCCTAAATAATAAAGACAAAAATAAAAATTACTGTTATTTCTGAGAGGAGGCAGGTAGATGAACTGCAGAAGGACATTCAGGGGCATTAAAAATATTGGTACTGTTCTATTTCTTAAACTGTTGATTTTAGTATTATTCTTTATATTGTAGATAATCACTAGATATATTCACTTATATGTATGAAATATTTCAAAATAAAAAGTGAAAAAAGAAACATTCCTCCTAGCCTCTCCTCCAGGCATACAGCTGCCTGTCCCCTCTACTAATCGACTTTTAGGTTGTCTCCTAAATTTCGCTTTTCCAAACACTACTACAATAAATTAACCTTGTAGAGACATCATTCCCTATGTGTGCAAGCATTAGATCCTTGTTTTTTGTGATAGGAGAAATAATATTTTATAAACTTTATATTAAGTATTAACTATTATCTTCTGCACTATGACACATATGATATCTTGGCAGAAGTGTAAAGAAAAGTTCCAGATGAAGCTTATAAGGAAGTATTGCCCGAGGCCTGGGTGATTGTCCTGGGCGTCTGCATCACCAATGCACTGCCTTAGTCTTTCATGATCTCACTTGCATTGCAGGACACAGAGATGAGGCATCTGCTGCTATAGGCTGTGGGGGAGAACTGGAAACAGGTTACTCAAGCCCCTGAGTTAGGGTTCAGTTACTCTTTGCTTTTGTTCTAGGAAAGCCCTCACTCCCCTTGAATTCAACCCTTTAAGAACTATAGTCAGAGTTTTAATACTCCTATAATTTTCTTCACTCTGTAATGCTTGCTAACCAAAAAGGTTCCTGAGGTTTTCTGTCACACAGCTCAATGGTTAGAAAATTAAGGTCATTTTTTTCTCTTCTGCCCCTCCAAGCAAAAGTGTAATCAGTCAAAGTCAAAAATACATTGGGGAGGATGCAAAATATATACACTTCAGGAATTATGATAGTGCTATGGAAAACTTCTGCACAGAGATAGATCATGTACTAACCCATGAGAGGGATTAAGTGTTATTTACACACCCTAATCTCACATTTTCTTAGGTACTTCTAAACATTTATTAACCAATAAGATTCACTGAAAATAGAAAAATGTGGGCTTCACTAAAAAGTTAAACAACTGAACATAATAGCCTAAAAGAAATATATATTTATATAATAATGATTTCTTGAAAAGATTTAAAGAGGAGTTCACTTTAAAAAAAGGAAAACGATGTGGCAACAATGTTCTCGTTAAAAACTCCTGCTTAAAAAATAATAGCAAAGAAAAATGATTTTGAGGACTGTTTTTCATGCCAAATACACTTTACGCCTCTAGATGGCAATAAAACACAGACCATGAGTTGCCACTGGCTGGGGGAAGGGGAGGGAGAAAGAATTTCTTGCCTTGGTTTTTTACCTCCAGAAAAAAACTGGAGTCACATTATGATTATTTACCAGATAGAAAGGTCATTTTGATAAAAAAGAAAACCTCTTTCCAAGTTATGTTTTGGTTAAACCATATAAAACAGCTGTTTTTGTATGACAACAAAGGTTGAATGTTAATTTCATATAGTTCAACCTACAAACTATTTAGATTCCTAGAAGATGCTGTCATTTATTTTAAGGAAGGATAAAGAAAAACTAACAGATAGAAGCAACTGAAATGTGATCATTATCTTCTTTCACAGCCGGGCAAGGAGAGCCTGGCGGATTCAGCAAGCTGCCGAATGTGATGAGACCACAAGACGGCTGCTGCTGCGTGAAATGGGGAAGGTGGGGAAGGGACATGCAGGAGAATTAAAAATATACTGGCAATGTTCTATTACCAGTGGAATAGTAATGTTCTATAGTGTTAATAATGACTACATTTTTTATAAAATTATCCCAGGTGCTGTATTTTGGTTAAAGGTAAAATGACTTAGTTGTTCCTACCCTGTATTTTTTTGTGTGTGTGAGGAAGATCAGCCCTGAGCTAACATCTGATGCCAATCCTCCTCTTTTTCTTTTTCTTTTTTTTCTTTGCTGAGGAAGATTGGCCCTGGGCTAATATCCATGCCCATCTTCCTCTACTTTACGCAGGATGCCGCCACAGCATGGCTTGACAAGCAGTGCATCTGTGCATGCTGGGGATCCGAACCTGTGAACCCCAGGCCACCGCATTGGAGTGCACGCACTTAACCGCCCTGTCACCAGGCCGGCCCCCTGAACCTGTATTTTTAAATCAGACATATCTCCTTAGTCTGAATGACGTGAGGGTTCCTCTAGGTATCCAAGATATTTAGGTATTTTCTGTCTTTTACTTAATCAAAGATTCCACCTTTTTTTTTTTTTTTTTAACATTTCATACTTCCAGATGAGAATTCTAGTCCACTTAGAGTTTTACAAGGTAGTCATATCACAAATAACGGGACTGGTGGGGCTAGAAGCAGCTGACTACAAAGCAGGGTTGCCTATATCTATCTCATCAGTGTTGTGTCTCCGTGGTGTTCCTTTGGAGTTCCTTGGGCCCCTGCAAGAACTCAGGCCAAATTGTTATGACACTCTCAGGAGGAAAAGGCCAGTTGCCGAGTGGCATGATGTGGCACAACGTTGGGATTCCTCTCAACACTCAGCCTTCCTGCCTAAGGAAATCCCCACCCAAAAAGATTTCAACACAAACATAGGAGAATATTTCAAAATGGAAATAAATAAAATACTTAAAGCTGTCACTTTTTCTGGGGATCAAGAGGAGTCTGAGCTTATAGGGAAAAACATTAGAAATTAGAAGTGGAACAGAGTTGAGGTTAAACATTAGCAAGATTTCTCACCCTGACAGCGTTGTAGACATGGAACTAGAATATGGGGAGTATCTTGGGATTCTTTCTGAAGATTACATCTATCCAAGATGTTTTAGGTTTCAGCCCTATCCATCAGAGTGAAATATATCCTTGCATGACTTCCTAAGTTCTCTTACAACTTAGGATCTTAGTCTCTTAGTTTCACAGGAAATCATGATTGGGAAAAAAACAGGGAGGGATCCTTTCATGTTTTGGAGATGTACTCAGACACAAAGAAATGAGTTCTGTCCCAAGAAGAGGCAGAAGATGAGATGGGCTTTGGGAAAAGACCTTTGACCGCTTTTACAGTGGGAGGCCCATTTTAAAGAATTATGGGAAAGAAAATACACACAGAAAAACAAACACCTAAAGGGATATAAAGTAAAATGTGAATACTAGTTATTTTGGGGTTTGGAATTATGGGAAATTTTCCTTTTCTTCCTTTTGCTTATATTTCTTTTTAAAACATTTTATGCAAAAGAAATTTTATTTTGAAAGCAGTATGCCTTTTGCACCAGAAGAATTTAGTGCGAAATTCCAAACCCCAAAGCATGCCGGGGACAGGGCAGAATTCTTTGCCCTATTTGAAAATTTCCCTGAGTGACTTGTCTAAAATCAACTGTCTTCTGTCCATTGCCAAAAGCAACTATGGTATATTAGACCGAATACTGTTGGTATCACTTCAAGTGACATAAGCAGCATCTACTATTTTAAGTATTATAATATTTAGCAGTAAATGGTGAATATTCTATCCTGTATTAAAAATGTGAGGAGTGGGCCGGCCCCATGGCTTAGCGGTTACATGCGCGCACTCCACTGCTGGCGGCCCGGGTTCGGATCCCGGGCGCGCACTGACACACTGCTTCTCCGGCCATGCTGAGGCCGCATCCCACATACAGCAGCTAGAAGGATGTGCAACCACGACATATAACTATCTACTGGAGCTTTGGGGGAAAAATAAATAAATAAAAATTTAAAAAAAAAAAAATGTGAGGAGTTATTGCTTAGGTCAACAAAATAAGCTAGTTGTGCCCAATAGGGCTTAAGAAAAGGCCACAGACAAACTGCCACTAACTGGGCCTTCTTTCTTACCTGCTTTCCATAAGATGCTCTATCAATGGCGAAATTGTCAGGGTTTAACAGGCTTTTTCTTTCTTTCTTTCTTTTTTTAATTCGAGTAGCGCTTTCCAGATCATATACCCTAGTAAACGTCATTTGTAAAAACTGTGATGAAGCCACTTAAAAAGAATCCGCAGCCCCTGGGGCGCTGACCACCTTCCAGGAGGTGTTATGAGTCATTAAGCTAATCATAAGCCAACTCTTCTAAATAAACTCCAGGCTTATTTTCAGGCATCAGATATGCCTACATATTACACAGAGTTGGTTTATATTCAAAGTTCTAATTTCAACGGTCTTAAGTATACATATTTATTTAAACAGTTTACTAACAGACTAAATGATATTTCACACATATATATATATTTCTCAGTGTACTGAAATTCTATTAGTTTTTTGGAGATTTTCGGTGCACTACAGAAAATGTCTGATTATGTAAAAGACTAGATTTCTCTAGAATTTAAGAGCACTGATGGCAAGGACGAAGCCAAATTTATTAATGTATTTATTGGAGATTAATAAATACTACTTGAAATAAAGAGCTAAGATATCACATACAGAATATTTTTTCATTTTTTACTATATATTTAGATATATATGTCTTACAACAATACCTGGAGATTTTAGTTAGAAGCAAGAATAGCTACCTGAATAAACTCAAGTTGGAATGACTTTCTACATTTGGTGATGGTTACTTATAGTATTTTGCCTGACTTGATCTGTTCACCTAGCTCTCAGCTCTTAGAAATAAAATTATGGGTTCTCACTAGTAATCAATTAAAAATCCTTAGCTTTATATGATTTTGTTATCACAACATATGATTAAAACATATGTGTGTCAATTTGTTTGAACATAGAAATATAGGCACTAGAAGGAATTTATGATCTCCAGCAAAACTTTAAGCAAAGAAGACATTAACCTTCTGAAAGGGATGATGGTTGTATTCTATTTTTAATCGCTGCATTAATGAAAAAAACCATTATTATGCAGTGTGTTACTTATGGATTCATTAAATTTTTTACCTAAATTATAGCAATTACAAAATTTCAGGAAATTTGAAAGAGTAGAAGAATTATACATAATCTGATGATGCAAACACCGTTATTATGCATTTTTTAGAAAACAATATCTATTATGACATTTTAGAGATGAAAGAGCCCTTACTGATAACAACACTTAAAGTTCATTAAGTATTTTATTTTCTAGAAATTGTGCTGAGGATTTTACAAGCTTGATATTATTTCAATCTCTTAATAATCTTATGAGGCGGGTACCCTTGGAATCGTCATTTAGCAGAGGAGGAAACTAGGCTTGGAAATTTCAGTGACTTGCCCAAGGCCATTCACTTAGCAGAGGAGGAGATGAGGTTTGAACTGGGGCCTATCTTTATCCAGCAGAGTCCTTCAATTTTACCAGTTGGATAAAAGAAGTCTTAGAGAAGTTAAATGAGTTGCCCACGGCACTAGAGCTAGTTCTGACATAGCCCTGATTATGATTTTTATAACCTCTCTGGATCATACGTATTACAGTATTTAACATTTCTCATTAACAGTCAGCATTGGCTTTAATTCTATTTCATGCCCCAAGTTAAATGAGTTTTATCCCATTCTGTCCCTAGTTTGTCTATACCAATGGCTTTCAACTTTTCCCAGAAAAAATACAGGTGCTTGGATCCGACCCTAGATTTTTGGATTCAATTGATCAGGGGTGTGGCCTGGAATAAAAGCTTTCCAGGTGATTCTAACGTGTAGCTAGGGTTGAGAAGCACTGGTCTATACAAAGAATATCTGGTTATCAACCATCTTATACATATTCCAAAATGCTTTAGATCATTTTATCACCTTCTAGCGTTTATGTCATGTGGTTAAAGTATTTTCATGATTTGTATACGTAAAAGGAACAAATAAACATAAATATATCACTCAACATAAATATATATAAAAGTTAAATTTTGTACAAATGACATGTCAAAAAATGAGTAAATAAAGTGTCAGGTTGAATTGTAATATTGAATTTCATGCACTGATCATGTACCTAATTATACTAAAGGTAATTTAATCCATGATATAGCCTTCTGCTTCTAGTGCTTTGTCAGTTAAGGAAATATGGTCCCATTTAAGTATGTCACTTAGGTAATTTGTAATTTGAAGCAAAGATACTCTTCAGGCCTTGGATTTATAGGAAACAGCTCAATATGGCCAAGGACACATTCTCTAGCATTGCCTTTGAATTACTTGAATGAACCACAGAATTTGTATTTGTACTTGCGCTTGATTCAAAATGAAATCAAGAACCAGAACTAATGCCCCAAATTCAATTTTCAGATTTGTGAGAAACCTTCCCATTTACCAAACTGTGCTTACCTGAGCAAATGGAGTCACAATCAAGTCATCTCCATGTCTGAAAAAGAAACCAAATCCCGTGTTAGACGTTGCTGATAACTCTATGACCTCTTTTGATCACTATTAAAGGGTAAGTTCCACTTGCATAAATTCTCATAGAGAATTACAGTAATTCCATCTTTACTCTTCAGCACATACTTCTTCCCAGCCACTGGAGTAAAAATATGTCTTCTGGGATGTTAACCATTGTCCAGTTCCCTGGGTAAAAAGCGGGGCTTCTTGATCATCAACCAAGGTCACTGTTGCTTATTAAGCACAGAGGAGATACAACAGCAGAAATGGAGTTCCAGCAGTGAGACCTCTTATTGTAGGTATTAGCAAGGAGTGTGCAGAAGCAGCCAGCACCTGCAGTGGCTTCGGTGAGAGGCCCCTGGACCATCTGACATTTGAAGGTGATGAGCATGGAGTGTTCCACATCACCGTGTGTGAGTCTTGGACAGGCTAGGAACTGTAGATGACACGGGACTGCATCATACACTAATAAAAACCCAGTGAAACTTTTCAACTGACTCAGAGCCCAGCCGCTGTAGTTACGGGGGAATGTTAGCCTGTGTGTGCTGTTGCTGCAGCAACCTCAGCTACACCATGCCTGGGGATGCAGGGGCAAGGTGTCAGCATGACATGCCTCGGAGGCACAGGGAAAGGCGGGGAATGTTGTGCAACATTCCACTTGGAGGAAAGTGAGAAACCAGGGCCCGCAGTTCTTTCGTGGTATTTCCTAGCATGAATACCTCGTGAGAAGGATTTCCAAAATCTCCATGGGTTTCTTGATTTAGCTAGCTGAAGCTCTTTAATCAAAAGGGAATGTAATTATTCTACACGGAAAACTTCCTAGACATGCCCCTAACTGAGAACCCTGCAAGTGAACCTTTCACTCACTCATGAACGATTCTGAAAAGGGCCCGAATGACCTAAAACAACATTCACGAAATACACTTCAGCACAAGCAGCATATGGATGACATTAATAAACAGATCATTACCAGTAATTAGGCCAATTGTTATGGTCATCACCAAATTACGCAGAGATCTTGAAATTCAGAGTGGGAAAATAAAAAGCAGAAAAAGGTCACAACACATTTTAAAGGAAAGGTGTTATTTTGCATCCCATTAGTTCTAGAATTACATTTTTTGAGGGACACTTGTTCTTTGTAGAGATTGTTCAGACAGCCAAGATTAAAGTAATATGAAATCTAGATATTTTCCCAAGGTACAGTCTTTTCTTCCATTTTATTCTTTATAGTTGCCTAACTACCAAGTTTATTTTCTAAGAACTAAGTCATCTTGACCAAAGCACATCATCAACTTGAAATTAATCTCTGAAAGTAAGTCTTCTAATTTTTTACATGAATTACATTGGATTTGAATCACTCTAAACTGAAAAGAGTGTGAATGTTTATTAAAATAGTTAATTCTGTCTTTGGCTGTATTTCATTCCCAAGCACTGTAAAGATATATTTAGAATATACATATTTAGGACAATTTATCAGTCTTGCTTCCTTTCCCTATCAAAGCATAAAGAAAGACAGTTATAATTTTAATGAAGGAGATATTGCCCAGAAATTGTTTTTTCCAAATATCTCAAGATTGTTTCATTTTAGTAACAGTAAAATTATTTCTAGCATTTCAGTGGCAAATGTCCTCAATAAAGGGCAGGTTATATCCTATCCTTTTCTTTTTAAAATTATGTAATGCTTAAATTATCTTTTAATATATACTGAATATATAATTTTAAAATCTTTGTCTAAGTCCTCACCTCAATATTAAAATGTCTTATCAGAACTACTGTCATAAGTACAATGATGCAGGTAAGATATTATTTTGTGTATAGAAGAAAATAAATGTAATATGAACATATTTTTTAATTGTATCCTGTAATTTGCTTATAATACTCAAAAATCCAATCTGGTAATTAAGATCCATTCAGAAGATTCATTTTGTTACCATATACAGTTTGGTTTAAAGTATGTGTGAGTTTTAATGAACTGAATAAATGCACACACCAAAAAAAGCCTCGGGTAGAAAATGATTCTGAAATGCTGCATTTGAACAACTTTCTCAACAAGGAAACTTAGCTACTTGAAGTGTGGTTAGAAGAGACTGTAATACTACACAATAAGATTATCAGGGCTTCCTAAAATGAGAAGAGACTGTTCGGGTCCCCTATAAATTGATAGAAGCTAGATTCAAATTTGCACAGTGAGCATTGCCTGGAGACCTGAAACTGTACCTCCTGGTGACATGATTTTTCTGGAGAGGACTATGTAATATTGTCTTTTATTTAAATAAAAAGAAACAAACATAACAACAACAAACTTAAGAAAGCAACTGGGATCTGCTTTAAAAAAAACTGCTTTGTTTTTAGGATTGGAGTATTTACGGAGGACAGGTGGGGAGAGAGCGAGGGCTAGCGGGGCGGGACATTGTATGTATTGTCAAAATTGACTATAGTGGAGCCATTTTAAAATGAAGTTGGAGCTGCCTTTCTAGAGAAACTCCTTTGCTCTTTTGAATCATGGACTGGGCCAGACCTTTGGACTGGGCCAAAATGGCAATTGTTTTATAAGCAATTGTTTGAGAAGTCAGCAGGAAAATGGACATCCTGATAGCAAAGACTGAGGATTGTGGACTTTCTGTAGAATCAATAGTCAATCAATGTTTAGCCAAGACTAACTTCTGCCTCCAACTCCAATTAAAATTCATTGTAACACAAACTTCTCTTCTTTGCCTTTAAAACCACAGACTTGCACTTCCTAGCAGGACACTACTTGGGTTTCTACCTGAACCTGTGCTCCCTTAATGGCAGTTCTTTGATCCCAAGTAAACACTATGCCTCTTAAACTGGTTTGTGTTTTTGAAGGCTGACAGTATGTATATATGTATGTACGTAAGTATGTATGTATATGAGTATGTATGTGTGTGAGTACGTACGTATATACGTATATAAGTATGTATGCATGTGGATGATGACAAGATTGGTACCTACGTAATAGTCACAGCAGAGTCAGTGCCATGCAGGTCTCCAGTCTCATGATGTAGAAGGAGGGGCCGCGTGCTCAGTCGCCTGACCTGGTTACCAAGGGCTGAACCAGAGTCACCCCCTCCAGCCCTTGTGGGCAGCCTCTCCCCTCTCCCAAAGAGAAGGACTTGCTGGGTCCTGAGCCAGCGCTACTGGAGGCAGGGAATTACAGGGCTCAGCGTGCACTATTGAATTTTCTGTTTTTCTGAAGAGGAATGACGGTAGAGTTAAGAACTACTCTCTATGCCTTTGGCCATCATTCCCCTAGTTCTGCATTATTTCCGACTTTATTTTCTACCCTCATTCTTTCTGTAATAAGAAGCCAGAAACATTGCAAGAAACTGAAGGAGAGAAATCCAAAGCAAACCCTTTTACAGAGACCTCATTGGGATCCAGAAACTATTCAAGTACTGAAATGTGGAAAAGCCCCTTGTCAACTTCAACATAATTTCACCCAACAGCACCACCTGAAAATATAATTTTGTCAACTAGTTTTCTTCAAAATTGTGTTGAAACACACAAGGCAGCAACCTTTCCATGCTTTACTATTACCAAAGCAGAAGGAAAAGGAGATCCAGTTAATCAGAAGAAAGTCTATGCTGTACTGAGCGAAGACCCCTAATCCTATGATACTAAAAGCATTAGTGGCCACAAAGTACCTGCCGCCTCTGAATATCAGGCATCGCAAATCTCAGCATGACAAGTGGTGTATGAATTGGCGCTTTGAAGAGGAGCCATGGGCTGAGGCTTACTTTCTGAATCTAATCTTGTGCAAACTTTTTGATCTTCCGTGCTTCACTCTTTTTTTTTTTCTTTATTGTGAAATTTTTGTTTGTGCTTTACTCTCTCTTGCTATAAAACTAGAAAGAAATTCTCCTCTGGAGTTTGTCGATAGGATTAGGGAATTGATAAACACACAGATAACTGGTATTTTGAAATCCTGGTATCTTTTTTCCCTTAGACTCAAAACTGTCACTCATTTAGCAGTTCACCTTTGATCCACCTCTTTTAGAATTATAGAGAAACAAATATGTTCTCATTTTTAATATGTACATAAAAATGTTTCTGGAAGCCTAGGCTATTTGACTACCCCCAAGGATTAGCCACAGGAGGAACAAATCTACTCTCCACTCTCTACTCCCATGTTCACAGAAATACAGACCTATAAACAAACAAACAAATACATAACACAATCTACTTGATCTTTTGAAAAAGTAATATATGTATATTTTGAATGTAAAACACGTGTTAACTGCAGAAACTTTGGGAAATACCAGAAAAACTTAAAGAACCACCCAAAGATAACTGTCAATAACATTTTCCTTCTGGATGTATGTGAGCATATATATGTTATATGTGATTTTTATGGAATACATGAATTTCTTACAAAATTAGAATCATACTGTATATTCTATTTTATATCTTGGTTTTTTAACATGAAACATATTGAGTCATGAAAAATCTTACATGCCTTTATACTTTTAAAACATTTTTAATGATTCTAGTCTATGTTTAGTAATCGCTAAAATTTTCACGTAGATATCAATTCAAATGTATTAAAATGTAAGTACCGATTCTATTTTAAAATAAAAAATTTTTAAATAATTGTTTGAATTACTCAAATTCATTTTAGTTCATTCATTCCTTTAAAAACAACTCAGTAAAAGAAACTTGCTTATTTTGATAAACCAGTCATAAGACAAAGCTGAATATTAAAATACATGATAAATTGGGTTCATTGAGTCTTAAATTCATGAAGGTGTTGAATATTTTATGTTGGTACCCCTTTTAATTAAAATAATGAAACTATGGTTTCAGACAATAAAAGTATTCTAGAAAACCTGGCTACCAAGTACCAAGTACATTTTGCAAAACCAAATTATATTTTTCCAGAGATCTCATTTTGAAAGGATGATTTGTTTTTCCAAAAAATAATATCGGCTCTGAGAAATTATAAATGTCACATTCAAGAATATAATG